TGTCCGTGGAGGTACAATAGAATGCTCTGGGAGGGAGGAGTGAAGGCTTGGGCACTTAAAGAATGTGTAGGCAACCAGGGTGGGAACCTGAGACTGGATGGCAGAGGTAGGATCAGCTCAGTTGGCTTTGAGGAAGGAGGGAGAGGTCTGTGGGTCAAGTACATGGAGATTGCCAAAGCTACTGGGCTGGGTTCTTGGCCCAGGGTCAACTGCAGAAGCAGCAACAGTCTCATGACTCTAGGTGGCTTCTGAGTGAAGAGAGTTGGCCCAGGTACCCAGAGACTTTGAAGGTGAAAGAAAAAAAGAACTACAAGGCCCATGGCTTTGTTATTTTCCTATTTCTTGGAATGATGAGGTTGCAGGGGATCTGCTGCTGCCTGATGGAAGTTGTACCTTCAACGGCAGTGGCTGCTGTTTTCCTGTGCTGGGGCCCATGACTGATAACTTTGAGGGATCCTTGGCAGTAAAAGCTGCAGGCTGCAGGACTGCCATTACTGCTGTTAAGAACTTTGGTAGAGAAGTCTACTAAAGTTTTGTGCTGACCAAGTGTGGTATTTTCCTCTAAGTTGATCTTAAGGTCTCTCTCTTCAGAATGGTTCTAAATTTTATCCCTGCCCTGAGTAACCTTGAAGGGAGGTGATTGTGGATGTCTACAGTGATTATTTATTTATTTATTAATAAATTAACAGATGCACACTTTTGTAAACTATTTGAAACAATACCAAAAAAAAAGATTTTGATTTGTTTTTCTCTTGCAAGCAAAAGTTTTTTATTTATAATCTTTCTTTCACAGCCCCCACCCACTCTACCACCCAATTTCTACCAACCACCTTCACCCCTTACTGTCCCAATGCTCCTTTCATGGGGTACTTGCTTATCCTGGTAGATTTGGTCTAATGTCTCAGTGTCCAACCATGTTCCTCTTACAGGAAACTTGTTTACACTGGCATGATCTATGGCTTTTGACTGTCTTGTGTTCAGTTTATTCCTACCAAGATAGCCACACCTCAGAAGAATCCTAACCAGGAGGAGAATTAGGTTCAGGTGTGTTGGTCAAGTAAGACACACACAGAAAAGGCAGTTCGACAGAACATGAAGTATTTTATTACTCACAAATCCACGAGAGGATAACAGTACTGTTATATTACTCACAGATCTACGAGAGAAGAGAGACTTCATGAGGGTGCATGGGAAGTGCAGAGGAAGCAGAGGGCTCAACCACTGGGTGGGAAGTGAAGGTGAGAAAGCGGGCCTGTGGGACTGTTCCTTTATTGAGGTCCATGGGAGTTTTCCTTTAGGCTTTTCCACAGGGTTTGTGGATTGGCTAGTTAAAAAAAAAAGAAATTGTGCACAAGCAGGAGCTTATTTACATGACCCTGATGTCAGCCACTGAGTTTTATCATGATAAGCAACTGTGAAATGTGCTAGAATTTGAGTCAATAAGATAAAGAACAAGTGGATTATATTACAAACAGCCATACAGAGAGGTCACGTTTTAATTAGGCCAGAGGTGATGGGGGTGAAGCTGGGCTTTGAACAACCTATGTCACGCCCAAAAGCGAATGTTGAGGCACCAACCATAGCAGACAAATTTATGACAGCAGACCACTGGGGGTTGCAGTGACTCCCTCCACATGACTGATACTGAAAGAGCACATCCCTCCTCTTTGTTCTCTACCGTCTCCAAATGTCTCAACTATATTGTTCCCCCAGTTACTTTGGGCAGCTGAACTGAAGTTGGTAACTCAAGAAAGCATTCTCAAATGTGGGGGAAACTGGTTATATTCTCACATAGCTTTTTCCAGCAAAGAGGATATGTCGGCCAATGAATCCCAATTCCATGAGCAGTGCTGGCTTGAGGTATGGGTTGGGGGGCAAGAATGCAGGAAAAATGGAGCAGTTCTACCTTTTAAAAAAAATCTTTTAAAATAATAATTATTTTATTTATAATTAATTTTTAATTTGATTAGAGAGAGACAGAGTGAGAAAGGGAACGTGAGAAAGCAAGCCACCAGGTCCAGGACTTGAACCGCAGTTGGCCATGTGAGAGTCCAGTGCCTTAACTGACATGCCACTTGCCAGTTCCCTTTCTACCCTTTTTATGCAGTTCTTTTCAGATTTTTGTCTCCCACTGTATTTCTATGGCTCCTTAAGTGAATTCTAAACTTTTCCAGAGTTATTTTTGTTTATAGACAGATGCCAAATTGTTGTTTTTCATTGAGAAGAGAAAGATTGATCTCCTACCCCACCGTCATGCTGACATCACCCCAAGTTCTTTTTATAAATCATTTTGCTGTTTTTGCTGATCTTTTCGACTTTCTTATTTGTTCCAAGATATTACTAATTGCTTTATGATTGTCTTGTGATAGCTGCTTTAAAGTTCTTATCAGATAATTCTAATATCTACTTGGTGTTAGTGTTTGTTCATTTCTTTTCTCATTCCTGTTGTTATTTTCCTGTTTCTTGGAATGATGAGGAATTTTTTTTATTGTTTCCTGAACACTTATTTTTCACCAAATTTGTATTTTTTTCAAAATTTTAAAATGTTTCTTTCTCTTTCTAATTTCCTTAGGGGGCCCCAGTTGTATCTATGTGCAATTTGCTTGATATTTTTCTATTAGTCTCTGATGTGCTGTTCATTTTTCTTTTTTGGTTTTTCAGAGTGGATAATTAATATTTATTTATCTTCAAGTTTACTGATTTTTACTCTCAGCACTTTAAATATGCTGTTGAACCCATGTAATAATTTTTCTAAAATCTTGCTTATTGTACTTTTTAGTTCTAAATGCCATTTGGTTCCTTTTTATACTTTCTATTTCCATTTTAATTCACTCTTAAAATAATTTTGCTTAATTCTGAAAACATATGTTCTTTTGATTCTTTGTACATATTTACAGTATCAGCTTTTAAGTCTTTGCTAAATCTAATATCTGGGCCCACTTAGAGTCAAATGCCACCCTCCCTCCCCACTCCTGAATATTGATATTCTTTCTCGTTTTTTTCCCTGTTAGTTTTCCTTTTCAGGTTTCATGGAGTCTTGCTTTGTGTGTAAGCAACTTAATATTTAGCCAAAGGTTCAAAGGGACTCAATGCAGATGTTTAGATCTGCTTCTCTGCCCAGTAATTATCTTGCTGTCTCTTCGTCATGAATTTCAGCCACCTCAGTAAATAAACCTGGACTCTGACCTTCATCTCTTCAGTTGAGTGACATCTTCGCATTCGGTTCGGGCTCCTCATTCCTGCACCACGTTTCCTGTGTCTGTACGCAGACATCTGGGGCAATCATAAGATTCATCGTAATTTCATCCCCCATTTAGAATTACAGTCATGCTCTGCCTTTAATTCAATGTCTGAAATAGTTACTCTATATAGTTTGATGCAGTTTTGTAGTTGCTTACAATAGTAGTAGTCTAATTCCTTTTAGTTTATCATGGAAAGATGTGGAAATCCTATCCTAGACTTTCGAAAAGAGACTTTTCAGTTATTTTTCAGGCCTCCATCCAAATGACTGGACACACTCACCCATCTTTCACATGACTTACTAAAATCAATACAACCTCCCTTAAACATTCTTTCACTCTCATTTCCCAAAGGAAAGCACTGAATGCCTCAGACTGAGTTTATTGTCTTAAACAATGATTAGTCTTTAAGTTTCAGCACTTTGATTATCTCTGCTTTATACCTCATTCTCTGCACCTCTACTTACAGAAAGAATGATACCCCCAAAGACATATGCTGTCAGACACATACGGATTCTAATCTAGGCTCTATGCCTCAATAGCTGGGTGGACCAAGGATGCTGCATCATCTCCTTGAACTTCCTTTTCTAATCTGTGGGATGGTAAAAGTATTACCTCCTTTTACAGATTGTATTATGTATTTATATCTGTAGCTAGTGTTTAATTACAGAAATTGACTTGACACATGGTAGTTTCATGATAAATATGAACTTTCATAACTTTTGCTTTCTGTATTTTCCTCCTTTTCTCAGTAAGTCCTTCCCCTTGAAATTTTCTTCCCCATCTTTTGTTGTCCTCACTAATCCACAATGCCTGTTCCAGGATTGAATATTCAGTAATTGCTACTGACAGAGAGGGACATTTTACTGTCAGGAGGGTGAAAACAAGTGTTTTGTTTATTTAGTTGTTTTTGCTGTAAGGTGCATGTGCTCACCAGAGAGAGAGAGACGGAGAGGAAAAGTGAGAAATCATCTCCCAAAGGGGATGGCCATGTCACAATTCCTTTTCTTCTATTCTCCTCTAGAGATTTTGGGCACACACACACACATACCTTGAGTAAGTTTCTTTTCTTTCTTTTTTCTTGGAGAGTTATTTGCTATAGGGTGCGTGCGCGCACCAGAAAGACAGAGACAGAGAGACAGAAAGTGAGAAATCATTCCCCAGGGGGAATGGCCAATAGCCAATCCCTTCTCCTCCATTCTCCTCTCGGGATCTTGGGCACACACACACACATGCCCCCGGTGTGAGTTTAAGCTACTGGGTTTGGGACTCGAACTGCGGTAGACTACGTAGGAGTCCAGAGACATAGCTATTACGGCAACTGCTGGTCCCTTGCATGATTTTCAAGCTGCTGAGTCAAGAATTTGAAACGTGAAGTCAGCTATGTGGAATCTAGCACCTTAACCTCTACACTACCTGCTTGCCCAAGACAAGTGTTTTAAAACAAATCTTTGTTTCTTATAATTATGTATTCATTTTCTCATTGCTTGCTTCATTCATTAATTCGTTTACATTTATCCCATGAAAAATGCTAACTGGTTTTAATTTGCTTTTGTTTTTGTTTCTTACTAGGAAGGAAGGCCCACCTAGGCGTGAATGTTTCTGGCGAATCTCTCAAGGTGCCCAGCTGAGGTATGTGACACATGTTATCCTTCTGCCTGACTGACTTCAGGTATCTCCTATCCCTTCTAGTTCACTGCACAGAACTCTGGCTCACTTCCAAAACAAATAAAGGTAGGACACTGACAGGCTGCAATGATCTGTATTTGGTCACCTGCAACACAGCCTTCATTCTCTTGGGTCATGTCAGTCATGAAATCTTATATAATGACCATTGCCATCTTTCTGATCCTGGTTCAAAAGACTGCAGGTAACTTAGTCCTTCCTCAGAGGTTCTGGGGTTTTGGATGTTGATATCTTGGTGACCTCTGAGATGACTTCTATTCACATATAGTAGATAATACTCAGACTTCTTTTGGTCTCGGATAAGTTGTGGATTACTCTCAGGGATCATCTCATGTCAAGATCTCTCCTGGTTCTGCTCTGCCAAAACAAATGTAAGAGATTATTCTTGTTGTTTCTGGGATAGTAGAAAGTCAAAGCATAAAGTATTTTAGGTAGTGCTGTCATTGGAATGGCAGTTTAATTCATGGGTTAGGTGTGAGAGTTTGGATCCGTGTTGGGAAGCTATAGGAAGAATGAAGGACAGTTTAGAATTGGATAGTGAGTTGAGGTGGGAGGTTATAAGATCTTAGAGATAGAGTAATACTGGAAAAATGAATGGGGATAAATATAAAGTGAACAGTTTTACTTATAGAATTGAACTGAAATGATATTTTGGTATAACATGGGGGTAGGAATGGTTTTCTTTCTTTTTTTTTTTTTTAGAGGTTTTTGCTATAGGGCACGTGTGCTCACCAGAAAGACAGAAAGAGACAGAGAGACAGAAAGCACGAAATCACCCCCCGGGGGGGATGGCCACACCACAATCCCTTCTCCTCCATTCTCCTCTTGGGATCTTGGGCACGCACGTACATGTGCCTGGTGTGAGTTTAAGCTGCCAGGTCTGGGATTCAAACCATGGTCGACTACATGGGAGTTCAGCGACATAGCCATTACGCTAACTGCTGGTCCTAGGAATGGTATTTTTTTAATATTGACTAGAGCTGGTGGTGCAGTTGAATGGAACTGTGAGTCAGGGTAGAGAGAGGTTCATAGTTGGGCTGTATTTTGGGTTGATGCTATGAAGTGGGGTTGAATGGTTTGGATAGTGTTACATTTGTGTTATGTAATATTTTGTATTGAGGCCTTGGGTAGTTACCAGAGAGACAAGACTTTAGTTGGAGTAAGATATTTGACTCAGGTGGGTGTCTTATTCAAGTAGGGTTTATCTGGTCAGAGACTGGCTTAGCCTGGGGTGGTGGTGATTAATTTTGAGTGAGACAGCCAAATTCATCATGGAAGGGCTGTGGTTATTGAAATGGGAAGAATGTTAATCATTTATCAGACATATGATTTGCAAATATTTTCCATCATTCCCTAAGTTGTCTTTTCATTTTGTAGATTGTTTCCTTTGCTGTGCAGAAGCTTCTTAGATTAATGCAATCCCACTTCTCTATTTTTACATTGGTTGTCTGTGCTTTTTGGTGTCATATTCTAGAAATCATTGCCAATGCCAATGTTAAGAAGCTTTTCCCCTATATTTTCTTCTAAGAGCTCTACAATTTCAGGTCTGATGACTGGCTTTTTAGAAAATTTATTTATTTATTTCCTTAATGTGTGTGTGTGTGTGTGTGTGTGTGTGTGTGAGAGAGAGAGAGAGAGAGAGAGAGAGAGAGGAAGAGAGAAAGGGAGAGAGGTGTCCTCAATAGTCTTCATGTTGTAATCCTTCCCCCAGCCCCAAAGCCATTCAGGATCATGGGCATCCCCAGTACATTCGGGTAGACTTGGGTTGGAAACCAGGAGACTTCCCATGGTCTCAGCATCATGCAGCAGCAGCTCTACTGCCTGTGCTACCATAGCTGGGCCTGAAGTTTATTTTTGTGTATAGTCTAAGATAAGGGTCTAACTTCATCCTTTTGCATGTAGACATCCAATTTTCCACTTATTTAAAGAGATTATTCTCTTATAACTAAGTTGTAGAGATACAATGCACAGCATAGTTTCTACAGTTAACAATACTGGGTGACATAGTGTTTAAAAATTGCCAAGAAGGTACATCTTATGTTAGGTGTATTATTATTATTTAAATTTGCTATAGAGCACCCGTGCTCACCAGACAGAGACACACACAGAAAGTGAGAGAGGGAAAGTTAGAAAGCAAAACACTGGGTCTGGGACTTGAGCTGTAGTCAGCCATGTGGGAATCCAGCACTCTAACCACCATGCCACCTGCCGGCTCCTTATTAGTGTTCTTTTTTTTGTGGGGGGGGGAGAGGGTTTTTTGTTATAGGGCGCGTGCGCTCGCCAGACAGACAGAGAGAGACAGAGAGACAGAAAGCAAGAAATCACCCCCCAGGGGGGATGGCCACACCGCAATCCCTTCTCCTCCATTCTCCTCTTGGGATCTTGGGCATGCATGCACATGAGCCTGGCGTGAGTTTAAGCCACCGGGTCCAGGACTCATACCACAGTTGACTGCATGGGAGTCCAGCAACATAGCCATTAAGCTAACTGCTGGTCCCTCATATTAGTGTTCTTTGCATAGGTTTGATTAGAAAATAGTATTAAGAGGGAGAAAACTTTCGGAGATGATAGATAGGTTTATGGTATAGAGTGTGGTGATGGTTTCATAGGTGTATACTTATTTCCAAACTCATCAAGATGTATAAACTAAGTATGTAGAGCTATTTGTGTTTCAATTGTACCTTTATGAACAGGTTTTAGAAAACAAAATGGGAAAAATCAACGAGTGAAAAATATCCAATATTACTTTTAACTTCTGGAAAAAATGTGATTTTGGGGGACAGTAAAGAATAATAGCTATAATGACAGGTAGTAAGATCAATGAAAAGCAGGAGACTGGAATGTTATCAACTGTTTCCTATCACTGGTCTGTCTCCCAGAGAGATATGGGAGCAGTCACTACTCAGCCTTATAGAAAACCGAAATGAATTCGCCTTTCTTGAGACTGAGTTCAGAGTCACCATGTCTAGCATTCTTTTCTTTACCTTCTTTCTTTTTAAAAATATTTATTTATTTGTTTTGATTTTTAAGCCACCTGGTCTGGGAGTTGAACCACAGTGGGCCATGTGGGAATCCAGTGCCCTAACCAAAACGGCATCTGCTGGCTCATATAGCATTTTCTTTCTTCCTCCCCTTTCTCCTCTGTTTTTTTTGTTTGTTTTTTTTTTTCTCCTTCTCCTTTCCTTCCTTTTCCTCTCTCCCTCCTACTTCATTCTCCTACTCCTTTATTTCTCACGTTCTTTCATCCCTTTTACCTGAAGGACACTTGTTCTTATGTTCAGTAAAGCACAGTTCCCATATTGAAATAGTGGTGTAAGCCAAAGATGAGTTTGCAAAAACAACAACAAAAGATGAAGATGGCACTCCGTGCTTCAAACATTGTACACAGTGTTGCTATTTATAGTTTCACCTGGCAGAATTTATGAGCAGGAACTGTTCAGGACAGCTTCTTCTCCTAGGACAATCAAAGCCATTTTTCCCTTTCATCTTCCCCAACATGCTCATAGGCTCAATATTCCTAGTGTTGACTTAAGTGCTTTGCACAGAGTAGGTTTTTTTTTGAGAGATTTTCACTGTAGGGCGCGTGTGCTTGCCAGACAGACAGAGAGAGACCTAGAGACAGAAAGCGAGAAATCACCCCCCAGGGGGGATGGTCACGCCGCAATCCCTTCTCCTCCATTCTCCTCTCAGGATCTTGGGCACGCACGCACATGCGCCCAGCGTAAGTTTTAAGCCACCGGGTCCGGGACAGGAACCGCGGTCGACTACGTGGGAGTCCAGCGACATAGCCATTACGCTAACTGCTGGTTCCCGCACAGAGTAGGTTTTAGCAAACGTTTTTTGAATACATGACTATATAAATGACTTATGGCTCATAAACATATCAGTAGGAAGAATGTTAGAAATTGGAGAAGGGAGGATCACATTTGTGTGCACAGGTGGCAGAGAAATGCGTTTCACATTGATTTTGGCTTCAGATGAAGTTGCTACAAAGGGTCCAAAGCACAGCTTTTGCTTTTTGATTTGTGATATTTTAATTATCTTTTAATGAGATCAGCAGGTGGCAGTGGTGGTTAAGGTGCTGGACTCCCACATGGCCAACTGTGGTTTGAGTCCCGGACCTGGCAGCTTGCTTTCTCACTCCTCTACTCCCCTGTCCGATCTCAGTCAAATTAAAAAATAATAATAAGCAGCCAGTAGATGGCATAGTGATTACGTCATTGGACTCCCACATGTCTGACTGCAGTTCGCAACCCGAAACTTGTGGCTTCAAACTCACCACAGGCACATGCGCATGTGTGCCCGAGATCCTAGGAGGAGAATGGAGGAGAAGGGATTGCGGTGTGGCCATCTTCCCCAGGGAGTGTTTTCTCACTTTCCCTCTCACTGTCTCTGTCTCTCTCTCTCTGGCGAGTGCATGTGTCCTAAAGCAAAAACTTATAAAAAGAAAACTTGTAATGCAGAGCAATGCAAGATTAGAAAAGATGAAGTAAAAAGTTGTAAATGTTTATGAAAAAGAACCTTTATTTTTACCTTTTTTTTTGGAGAGGTTTTCGCTATAGGGTGCGTGCACTCACCAGACAGACAGAGAGAGACATAGAGACAAAAAGCGAGAAATCACCCCCCAGAGGGGATGGTCACGCCGCAATCCCTTCTCCTCCATTCTCCTCTCGGGATCTTGGGCACGCATGCACACGCACCCGGCGTGAGTTTTAAGCCGCCAGGTCCGGGACGCAAACCGCGGTTGACTACGTGGGAGTCCAGCGACATAGCCATTACGCTAATTGCTGGTTCCCTCTTTTATTTTTATCTTTAAAATTTTTATTTATTTACTTAATTTTTGAGCTACTAATGGCAGAACTCTCCTGGGTCTTCCTTGACCTCTTTTCCATGTGGATAAAATGAGAAAAGGTCCTCATTCTTGATATCTAAACTCTTCTCAGCTCTGATGACTGCAGAGAGGTGACAATGAATGCTCCATCTTCCATCCAGTTTGTTTGGAAGAAAGAGAAAATCCTCTGAGTTGGGTATTAGTCAGAAGAGTATGGGTGTCACTCTGGAGAGAGGCCTCTATAGATGAGGTGAGGATTAAGGTGGACAACACAGTGGCCCTGGAGGCCAGCAGGTGGTGTGGTGGTTAAGGTTGCTGAACTCTCACATGGTCAACCACAGTTTGAGTCCCAGACCTGGTGGTTTGTTTTCTCACTCTCTCTCTCTTTCTCTGTTCCTCTCTGGTCAAATTAAAATAAATAAAATTAAATAAAAAATAATTCTTTTAAAAAATGAAGAACACAGTGGTCCCATGATGTTGGACCCTAGATGAGTAGGTGCCATTCTGAACTCTTTCCTCTGGTGTTTAGCAATTGGGTACCTTCTCTGAATCCCTGGAGCTGTTCACACACACACACACACACACACACACACACACACACACACACGTTATGGAATGTCTGCCACTGAGGCATTTTTCTTTTCTTTATTTTTTTCTCCTGTTTTCCAACTTCATTTAAACTTAGAAAATTTTACTTTCTCTATTCAAAAAATGGGCACGGTGTATCTCTTTTCCATGTAGGAAATAGCATCAAACTTGCTTTGTCCTATTTTTATCAGTGTGAAAAATGAATTAGTCGTATTTCATAACTGGAGACTTCAACGTGCTTCGACATGGCCTGACACAAAGTGAGTGTTGAGTAACCGGTGTGAAATGAGGAGGTGGTCGGATAATTGCAAATATTCTTGAATGCCAAGCAAAGGACTTTAGACTGTCAGTTGGAAGTTGTAGAAGGCCCTGTGCCTGAAGAAATGGTGAAGATGCCAGGAAGACATCACTCTCTCCTAGAAATTCTGTCACAGAGAGGTAATTTAACACAGAGAGGAAAGAGCACGGACTTGACATCATGTGGACTCGAAACTGAATACTCATTTGGCCAAATACAAACTGTGGGGTGCAGACAGTACAAAGACTCTCTGAGCTTAAAGGTTTTCATCTAGTTAATAGAATTAACAACATTTTTTATAAGGGTTCAGTGAAATATCATTTGTAAAACGCCTTGTACATAGTAGATGCTGGACCACACATAGTGGATGGTAATTGATTGTTGATTTGTATTTTTTTTTATTTTGTCATAAGGTGCATGTGCTCATGGGGGGGGGGGGAGAATCACCTCCCATGGAGTTTGGTCATGCCACAAACCCTTCTCCTTCATTTCTCTCTCCTTTCAGGATTTTGGACATGCACACACACATGTCCAGTGTTTTTTTCAAGCTGCCATATCCGGGACTTGAACCACATAGTCAGCCATGTGGGTCAGCTGCCTTAACCTCCATTACTGACTGGCCCATTAATATTTTCTTTCTAATAACTCATTTGTCTTCAGAAGATCCAGCAGGTAACTAATACTTCTGATTATATATATAATGTTAACTGTCAGAAATTTTGCCACTGGGTTATTTTCAGACAAAGCCTTTATATACATGGACACATCTGGATGATCGGTGTATTATTACCAAGGGGTTAAGTCAGATGTGGAAAGTGTGTTAGATGTTTATACAGTGAGCACACATGTACATGCTAAATTCATGCATGAATAGGGATCTATGAACAAAATGAGTTGCACATATATGCCTGTGTGTGTGCCATGTAAGTATGCACAGTACCTGTTTCTATGGGGCCAGTGTACAAAGAGATACATGCAGTACATGTGTGCTCCTGTGTTCTATGTGTAAAGGCACACATGCACACAGGATAAAGTACTTGTGTACTGACCTAGAGTACGATCCTGGCTGTCCCTGATCTCTGTGTGAGATATACAAGTACCTATAGGCATTTGGGAACATGTCTAATATGTGCTCACATTGGCAGGCCCTGAAGACCTGGACCCCCAGGAAAAGACTTCCATATCGACAACGACACCTAATATTTAACTACTGATATGTGCCAGATGATTCTCCGAGCATACTATGAGGAGTCTTCAAAAAGTTCATAAAAATGCACATTACAAAAAAAATCTATTTATAAATTTAAAAAAATTTTGCACTAAAATAAACCTGTGCTTTCATTTCATTTTTCCACAAACTTTTTGAAATTCCCTTGCATATGTGCTCACTTAGTTATCACAAAAACTTTAGAAACTTGGCTTTGTCCTATTTTTATCAATATGAAAAATGAGTTAATCGTATTTCATAACTGGAGACTTCAACATGCTTCGACATGGCCTGACACAAAGTGAGTGTTGATAAATGGGTGTGAAATGAGGAGATGGTTGGATGATTTCAAATCATATAAAAATGATGCACTGGAGGGCCATTGCATCTGATGTAACTAGCTGAAGGATGGAGAGCTAGTAAATGAGACCTGCTTTGAATCCAGGAAATTTTGACTCGAGATATCATGTGTTCTTAAAGTTCTTAGGGATTTTCTCTTAAATCATGCTTCCTTACCTTAATTATCACCGTTGCATAGAAACTAAACATGCCTATGTCTTTCCCAGGTGGCTTGTTCAGAACCCGCAATGGCAAGAGCCAAGAGCCTTGGAACCCATGCGAGCTTTACCAAGGCATGTGCAGAAACACCTGCAGGAAATATGAAATTCAATACGTACTCTGCCCAAATGATCAGAAGTGCTGCCTGAAATTAGCTGCGAAAATAAACAATTCTGACAACGTGAAGGTGGATTACGACTCCAACTCCAGCGTGTCAGCTACAAACACTTAAAACCACTCTCAAGTCTGAATCTCCCCGACATCACCTTTTCTTGTAGTAATTTCCTGACCATTCTGAAAATGCTTTCCCTATAAATATGTATTCCTTGTGATGTGCGTGTCTTTCATCTGTAAGCAGTCATCACTGGACAGGAAAGGTTAGCCTGGGAGATGGGAAGCCAGAGAGTATTGGAAAGGACATTGGCCGAAAAATAAGACACAGGATCTGGATAGCTCAGTAGAGGCAGGTTGTGCTGAGAACAGAAATCACCTTTCTGCTCTGCTTTGGTACCATTCTGGAAAACCAGAGGGAAAGTAACGACTGGCTTGGGTCCGGATGATTCAGTAAACACGTGGGAGAGCTCATCAGGCCCTCTGTGTAAACATGGCAGGTTCAGGACAGAGACAGCACGGCTGTCTTTGATATCCAGAGAATTAACCTGGTCTGTTCGGTATGATGCGGTGTCCTCAGGAAGAACCAGAACCAGGTGCATGGATGGAACCGAGTACAGGAAATGGTCAGACAAATTAAGGTAAAGCTTTCCTAGTGGTAGAGCTGCTGGGACGTGGAATAAACAACCACAGGCCCTTGGCATTTTTCCAGTTTTGAGGCTGAAGGACGACTTCTGGATGTGAGGCAGAGGTGATGGTGGCTATGGTGTGAGGGAGGGATTTGGCATAGAAGCTGGACGCTGCACTTGGTGTCCTTTCATTTCTTGAGAATGAAATATGTTGTTTGGGAAAAACTGTTTCTTCAAACTCAAACTTCATTCTTGACTAATATTTGACATGCTATGAAAATTCCATCGTGTTTTATATACTCTTCTTCTCTAGCTAATATCTCTTTGCCTTCCTTCTTTGGACCTAAACTTCTAGAACTAGTATTCCCAACTAAATTCTCTAAGTACTAGATAACTAATTTCACTTTAACCAACAGAAATGTGGACTTCGTGCTTAATCAGTCTTTTGAAATGGCCTTGGTTTTGGTCACTGATGAGTTCCTTGTTGAAGATTAAGCATTCATTTTATCATTTACTTCCCCTCCAGCAAACATTTACAACATTTTCAGTCCTTCTTTGAAACCCTTGTTTACCTTGGTTTCTGGGTGTTTTTTTCCTAGTCATTTTTGGAGTTCTACCATCTGCCTCATAATATGTATTTTTTTCTTTTCTTTTTATCTTGCTTTTTCTGTCCCCTTCCCTTTTTTTCATCATACAGACTTTACTTGCATTGTTTAGTATTTGTTGGGCTAAACCAATGGATCAAAGATCATGCACTAAATAACCACTTTATGTAGTTGGCTTTTAATTTATATGGGTTTCGAAGTCTGGTAAGAAGGTTTAATGTTTATTTTTTTAATTTATTTTAGAGAGATTTTTGTTATAGGGCACATGCACTTACCAGAGTCACAGAGAGAGATGGAAAGAGAGAAAGTGAGAAGCTGACCTCCAGGGGGCTGGCCATGCCTCAATCTCTTCTCCTCCATGTTCCTCTTGGGATTTGGGGCATGCATGCATTCGTGCCCGGCATGAGTTTCAAGCCACTGGGTCCAGGACTCAAATCATGGTTGACCACATGGGAGTCCAGCGTCTTAACTATTGTGCCACCTACTGGCCTCAAAAGTTTAATGTGTAAATCTTTGTGATTCATTGACATTCATACCTATTTGTCAGATGGAGAGGAGGGGATTGACACAGCCACATTTGCTGGCACAGCATGATAAGGAAACAAATTTTAATATTTGGAAGGATATATTGGTTCTGGGTTAGGCATAGTAGTTGAGATATAATATTTCGAGACTTTCTACCTTAGTGGTATTTGGAGAGAATATGGTTATGAAATTCCAGGTTTAAAGCACAGCTTTCTGCTACTCTGATTTCCACATGTTTTACAAAAAGAAAAATGAATATGAAGTCAGAAGGATTTGTCCCTCGTTCCCCATCACTGCTCAGTAGCTGTATGATCTTGAGCAAATTCTGCATTCATCTATTCACCTCAGGTCCATATCCACAAATTAAATTACATACTTGTTATGTTCTCTTGCATTTCTAAGCCACCTGACTCAAAATGTCCCCAAATGAATGCCACGTCTTTTCACCTAGATCTTTCCCGTGTCTTGCCTTCTTTAATAATTGGCATCTACAATTTTCCTCTTGCTCAGTTTGGTAACTTGGGAGTCATTCTTGTTCTTCCAATTCATATCAAGTCACCACAACCAAACCATTAAAATGGCTTTTAGTTCCAACCCTCAAATTGATCTCAATTTAATGATGAAATCATAATTTGCAGGATTAAAATGGAGAAAAAATCTCAACTAATTAAGATGTTCATGTTTTATCCCCTCAGATGTACGTTTTTACTCTTTTAGGGACCTTTATACTCCTAAAAGGGAATGTCATATTCCCTTGTTTTTCTCAGCAAACAATGAGATTCTTTTTGCTTTAAAATATGCGTATAGAGGCTGGCAGGGGGCATGGTGATTAAGGCGCTGGACTCCCATATGGCTGATGGTTTGAGTACGGACCTGGCAGCTTGCTTTCTCACTTTCTCTCTCTCTCTCTCTCTCTCTCTTTCTCTCTCTCTCTCCTCATAAAATTAAAAATAAAATAAAATAATAAAATAATTCTCAATACCGCAATCCTCCAGCTTCCATTTTTTTTTTTTTTGCCATAGGGTGGGTCCCACCACGCCCTATAGTAAATAATTCTAAAAACATAAAATGTACATATGTCTTTGTCACTAAAACTCAGCAAACAGCGCCTTTCACATTGGCCATTTTATTAGTTCCACTCTCATCTTCCTAGTACACTATACGTTTCTCTCACTTTACCTTCTTAATCTTCACTTTCTCTACTGCTCATCGACACAAATCTTATAGGGCTCTTAGGGTATGTTAGGTTATAAAATCAATCCTGTAATTGTGATGCGTTAGGCAATAAGGATAAAATTGTTTCCAATCCCTGGTTGGTGAGCAGTCTCCTTCTTTCTTGAAAACCATTTCTAATAAATGAAAAATATTCGTTTTTAATTTTGAGTCTGGTCATTCTTGTGAAACGATTTGGCATAGTTTGTAAGATCTGAAGAAGATAGAGGTGGGGTACAGGATGTGGACTGAATTCATGCATGGCTTTACCCTCAGATCTTCCCCCGTGTCTCTTTTTCTGCTGCCCAGAGATACCACAGATCCACACTGGAGCTCAGAAATGCTTTGAATTTCATGTAGGGATTAAAAAATGAGTCTAACTGTATTGGTTGCCTGTTATTGTTACCACCTATGCCTGAGAAAAATCAGATCACCCTTTTTTTAGGTTAGACTCCATTCTACACGATCATCAGTCAAGTAGTCAAGAAGAAATTCCCATTGTTGTGTAGCTCATTTGAAACCATATGGTATCACTCTCTCACACTGTGTGAGGACACAGGAGAACGGGGGCGGCGTGCCACCCGGAAGCGGCCTTCAACGGCACTGGACCGTGTGGCACCCTGATCTTGGATATCCAGCCTCCAGAGCCATGGGAGAGCTGTGGTTTAATCTCTTACTTGAAGGCATGTCATGTTACCCAGAGAACTTTCCAAACAAGTGCCCAAAACCCACCTGATGTCTAAAGGGGAGTGAAGGAGACTTGTGTCCAACCGGGTTCTAGGCTGAGTTCACTACAGGATTCATGAGCCAGGACCACGTATTCTCTTTGGATAACCTCTTCCAAAAGATCAACACAATGAAGTCTATCTAGGGATTGTCGATTAGATCTTTTTCAAATTTAATGTGTAAGTATATATATATATATATATATATATATGATAGTAGTTAGTGAATACTCAAACAATGTACAAATCATTCCTGTATTCCTGTGTGTGAGCTGTATTCTTCACAGCCACAGACTCAGTCAAATGCAGCCACAAGTTAGTTACTGTAAGGAACGTCAGGTAAAAGTCTAGCCAGCTTTTCTGTTTATTATAAGTGCCTCTTAACTTTACCAGTTATTTTTGTTAAATAAAGTTTTTCTGTTGCATTAAAAATTAATAAATAAATTATTATGGTGCCCCTTAATATAATTTGGAGTTAGTGATCAGAGTTAACCACCAAATCAATGGGGTTATTTTTTGTTTTTTGCTTGTTTGTTTTTTCCTGCTTTATCCTGAAGATAGGATACCCCAAAATATCTAAGAAAAAAATCTAAAATCTCTCATTTGAACCAGAAAATAGTCATGGTATTTGTGGAAAGAAGAATCTTACAAAGGAAATTAAAATTCTAAATTCTCTCCTTCACAGATGTCTTTGAGAAGTTAAAATAAATCATAAATGGACTTCAAAGGAAGAAACTCTTAGAAGCCTTTTCAGATGTATGTAAAAAGCCCACTGGCAAAAAGAAAAAAAAGTTTTAGAGAAAATTTTAAATTTATTTTTAAATTTCAAAATCAATGTAGTACTGGTGTTTCTGTGTGTCTCTAGATTTTCTACAGAAATTATAGAAACTCTTATCAAATCGCATCGATTTAAGTTTAAGCCCTCATGGCTTTTTTCTATAGCACATATGCATTCATAGGTAAAAGACAGAGAGATAGAGGGAAAGTGAGAAAGCACCTCCTGGGGGGTGGGGGTGGGGAGGTGGCCATGTCACAATCTCTTCTCCTCCATTCTCTGGAAATTTGGGGCACCCATGCACATTTGCCCAACAGATTTTCAAGCTGTAGGGTCTGGGACTTGAACCATGCAGTAAGCCATGTGGTATCCAGCCAATTTAACCACTATGGCATCTAGCTGGCTCTCAAGGAATTCTTAGTAAAATTGGTAGCATTTAAAAGAATAATCTGTAGAAATAATGGTAAACAGATGCTATTCTATTTAGGTTAAATGTACCAAAGATTTTTTTCACCAGATTAACTCTGTTTTATGAAAATTAACTCTACTGATCTTTAAAACATAATAGATCAAAATAGAGAAAGAACTCTCTTCTTAGCACATGTTTTGGATTACAAAGGACAAAACAGTAGACAAACGAATTTTGTTTTTATTTCTTATTTATTTACTTATTTATCTTCCTTCCATCTTTTTTTTTCTGTGCTGTTGCCTCAAGAAAGTTTTCTTCGGTTATAATGTCCTCACTGATTTTATCGTCCTCTACATTGATAAAAGGTTTGTGATTGTATTTTGAGTACAAAAGTAAACCTAGCAGGAAGCATTGACTAGATGCTAGAACTAAATACTTGTCACATAAGCAATTCTATGTTAACAAGAAGGTAATCTCTATTTTATAAATAAAAGGATTTATTCCTTTCAAAGATAAACAATACAAAATAAAACACCACCAGCTAGATGCATTATACATGTAATTTAAAAAAAATAAAATCATGCTTGGAAAGGCACCATTCTATCAAACAATTGTAAAAAGACATCATCCAAAATTTGGAAATAATTTTTTTTTTTTTGGAGAGGTTTTTGCTAAAGGGCGCGTGCACTCGCCAGACAGAGACAGAGAGACAGAAAGCGAAAAACCACCCCCCAGGGGGGATGGCCATGCCGCAATCCCTTCTCCTCCTTCCCGTCTCAGGATCCTGGGCACGCTCGCACACACGCCTGGCGTGAGTTTCAAGCCACCGGGTCCAGGACTCAAACCACGGTCGACTACGTGGGAGTCCAACAACATAGCCATTACGCTGACTGCTGGCCCCTGCAAATAATTTTAAAACATGACTGGTGTTCTTTCAGTGAAGGAATGGACATGACCCAGTAGGTCTTTCTGGGATTAAATTATTCTGCTAAGGGCATGCACCTTTGAACAGTTTTCTACTGACGAAGCTATTTTAAAACTTTGTAAAAGTAGAGGTTAGCTTATTTGAAAACTGTTATCATTGCAAAAACTCTCTCTCTCTTTTTTTTTTTTTTTGGAGAGATTTTTGCTATAGGGTGCGTGCGCTCGCCAGGCAGAGAGAGACAGAGAGACAGAAAGCGAGAAATCACCCCCCAGGGGGGATGACCATGCAGCAATCCCTTCTCCTCTCGGGTCCTTGGGCATGCACGCACATGCACCTGGCGTGAGTTTAAGTCACTGGGTCCAGGACTCGAACCGCGGTCAGCTACATGGGAGTTCAGCGACACAGTCATTACACTAACTGCTGGTCCCCGCAAAAACTTTTTTGAGGCATTCAAGCTATTTCCACATTAAATAGTGCAAAGGGACAAAGTAGAATTGATGGCAATGGGAAGCACTTGATTGTTGTGTGGGAGGGAAGCTAGTCTTGAATATAATTGCCCTTTAGGATATCAAAAAGGCTCTGTTTGCAATAGGCTTCAGAATTTCTTTTACTGGTTATTCACCACCATTCCTCTGAACCAGTCTTAACATCTTTCTGGTTTCTTCATTATTTATGAGTTTAACGAAGTAAATTATTAACATTTGTTTATTCTCTATTTGTGTCATGTTTTTTAACTTTAAAACCTTTATCGTATGCTTTATACTTCATCGCAATGAAGACGTATGATAAAAATATAAAATGTGTGAAATTTATATTTGTGGTTTGATTTTTTTTTTTGCAAGAAAAGCAGAGTAATGTTGAACATCTTGCTAGGAAATAAAATTATAAAAGTTAAACTGCTTTTAGTCTAAAAATGTTTTGCTTTTTCCTTGTAGAGTTATATAATCATAAGATGAGTTTAATTTTGGCCAAATATAGACAGGTTATAGATGAAGAACTGAAAAGATACTTAGGCCTAAAATCAGGGTGTACTTGGGGGCAGCAGCTGGAGTGGTGGTTAAGGCACTAGACTCCCACATGGCCAACCGCGGTTCAAGTCCTGACCTGGCAGCTTGAAAATCACACCAGGCATGTGTGTGTGTATGCCCAAAATCCCAGTAGGAGTATGGAGGAGGAGAGACTATGGCATGGTCATCTCCCCTGGGGGGTGCTTTCTCACTTTCTTTCTGTCTCTCTCTTCCTCTGGTAAGCACACACACTCTATGGCAAAAACATTAAAAAAAAAAATCAGAGTATCCTCAATGGATGAGGCCACTCTGTTTTTAATATAATCACATTGATCAGCATTGATCATTCTTTTATTTAATATTAGTACTTTCTGTGTTTTAAAAAAGAAATTTCTTATGACAAGATCAGAAAGATATTAGCCTATATTTTCTGAATGCTTTACTTTGTCTTGTTTATTCCTAGAGCTCCAGCTGCACCCAGAGGTCACCATAATTGACATTCAGTAAGTATTTGTGGATAAATGAAAGAAATTAACAATTTTCATCCTAGGTTTCATCACCTATGAAGGTTTCTAAGTTTACTTTTTATACTAAATTCTGTAACTAGGGCATATTTTTCTTATTTTTGTGAGAGATAGGAATATGAATACATTTCCCCAGTAGGTATGACCAATTTTTCCAGCTGTATTTATTAACTTGTTCCTCTGCTGCTTTCAATTGATTTTCCACCTGTATCTGTCATTTATCAAAACTCACTACATAGTCTATTTCTGGGCTCTCTATTTTGTTCCACTGGTAATTACATTTATCACCGCATCAATATTTTTCTCTCATAACAACTACAGTCATTTAATATTCTAATATATGGTAGAGGAAGTCATCATCTTGATTATTTTCCTCAGAAGTTTCTCAGAAAATTGAAGCAAGAATTGAACTGATACATAATCATTGCACATACTATGGAGTATAGTGTAATTTTTCAGTGCATGAATTAGGGTTCTTAGCATACCCATCACCTCACGCATCCATGTTACTTTGAATTTAGAAGATTCAGAACCCTCTCTTCTAGTTATCTTAAAGTGTACAGTATTATTGTGGTTTTTTTCACATTTTTTATTTCATTTTCTTTTATACATTCAATCACATTTTTTAGCTTACCAAATGAATATTTCAACAAGTACACAGTTCTCCCTAGTCCAGTTGATAAAACTATAACTATAAAATATCTTCAACAGATAATACCACATTTCTTTGTCCCATTAATGCTTTGCCTCCCTATTTTTCTTCCAAATGTCCTTCCTCAGACCCTCCTCTTTCACGCACATTATATCTGGTATTTACATCCATATACTGTGGTTCTATACCCTTTAGTCAGCTATAGTCACCCAACTGTACTGTAGACTCTAGAATTTATTCCTCCTATATCACCATAATTTTGTATTAATTGACCAATATCTCCATATCTCTCCCTTCTTCTACCATCCTTTGGTAACCACCATTCTACTCTCTACATCTATGAGATCCAATTTCGTAACATCCATAAGTGAGTGAGAACATGTGGTATTTGTCTTTCTGGGCCTGTTTTCTCAGTTTGCATATGTCCTCCAGGCTCATCCCTGCTGTCACAAGAGATAGGGTTTTATTCTTTTTTATGGCTGGGTATATCAATCACATTTTCTTTATTCATTCATCATGGTTGGAAGTTTAGGTTGATTTCATATCTTAAGAGACTACTGTGGATAATGCCACAATAAACATGAGGGTGCAGATACTCTGATTCAACATGTTGTGGGCAATAAATACGATTGTGTATTAAAATTGCATGTATGTGTGGGACCAGCAATTAGCATAATGGCTATGTCGCTGGACTCCCATGTAGGCAACTGCGATTCGAGTCCCAGACCCGGTGGCTTAAACTCACGCTGGGTGCATGTGCGTGCGTGCCCAAGATCCTGGGAGGAGAATGGAGGAGAAGGGATTGCGGCGTGGCCATCCCCCCTGGGGGGGTGATTTCTCACTTTCTGTCTCTCTTGCTCTCTCTGGCTGTCTGGTGAGCGCACGTGCCCTATAGCAAAAACCTCTAAAAAAATTAAAAATTGCATGTATGTGTATAAGACATCTAGCTCCAGGTTTGATGTACACTTATTGTATCTTGGGTACATATTTTCTTGTACATTTTATTTTATTTGTTTTTGTTTGTTTGCTTTTAGTTTTTGCCACAGGGTGGGTGCTCTCTCTGGATAGAGACAGGGAGGGAAAGTGAGAAACCAGCCCCTAGAGGAGACATCCATGACACAATCCCTTCTCCTACATTCTCCTCTTGGGATTTTGGGCACACATGACACAAGTGTGGTATGTTTTTCAAGCCATCAGATCCAGGATTCGAACCACACAATCAGTCATGTGGGATCCAGCTGCTTTAATCTCCATCCCACTGGCTGGCCCTCTCTTCTATATTTTTAAATTTCTGCATGTGGTGGGCTAATGTTTTGAGTATGTTGCTAATCCTCACACACTGGAATAAGTTGTAAACTGCATTAATTAAGTTGAGAAATAAAACCGACACTGTAGTGTTGCCTTGAACTATATCGTCGATCTTAAAATTGGTAAAAAGGTCAAGATTACCACAGAAGTTCTAAACAGCAGTTTGCATAGTCGCCAAGCACTAAAAATTTCTACCTTCGCGTGTTAATGATAAATGATGCTTTTTTTCCCTGAATTAAACCATGACAAATATTTATTAATAATTGTTTTTAAGCACCACATTTTGAGATAGCAGAAACCAAAGCATTTTCTCACTTCACTTGTATTTCATAAAAGTGCTTTAGAACTTGGGTTTCTATCCCCTGCATGGAGTATTGACAAAAGCAATCCCCGCAGAACTGAAGGCCCAGGGGAGTGCAATCCCAGGGCTGGGTAGCTCACTGGCCCAGGCTTGCTCATCTGCCCTGTGCAGAACAACTAGACATGCCCTTGAGTGCTCAGGGTCTACAAGTCAAAGAGGGCATAAGGGCACCCACGTGCCTTCTCCATTCATATCTGCAACTCAAGTCTCTTCAGATCCTGACTCTATTTCATAGGCCAAAGGATGCTACTCACATTTATTTGGTATTTAATTCTTCCCCCCACCCCCCAGAAACCTTTATCTGCACCTTGATTTCTTTCTTTCTTTCTTTTTTTTGGAGAGGTTTTTGCTATAGGGCGTGTGCGCTTGCCAGCCAGAGAGAGAGACAGAGAGACAGAAAGCGAGAAATCACCCCCCGGAGGGGATGGCCACACCGCAATCCCTTCTCACCTATTCTCCTCTTGGCATCTTGGGCACGCACACACACGTGCCCGGCGTGAGTTTTAAGCCACCGGGTCTGGGACACGAACCACAGTCAACTACATGGGAGTCCAGCGACATAGCCATTACGCTAAATGCTGGTCCCTGCACCTTGATTTCTAAGGTAAACTGCTACATACAGCACAACCTGTCACACACAGCTGCTGTAAAGCAATTTAGCTTCAGCGCTGCCCGGCAAATGTTCCATAGGCTCATTAATCCTTTGCAGCTGGAAGGATGTTCACTTTATTTCACCAGCCATATGGCATGCAGACGTAAACAGCTTTTTTGGGACTATATGCCCATAAACTTCGAGTAAACTACCAGTTGAGGCCCTGATTTTATTTGGGTCAGTATGTGCACATATTCACAATTAGCTAGAAAGATGAAAAACTGATAACAAAAAACCTACCTACTCTGTCATGTTAGATGCTAGAAAACAATCTTAACTATTTAATTATATGATTTTTAAAATAAGATTCATAAACCACTTCTTCAGGATATTTCTTCTAAGTTCATTAGTTATTTAATTGGTATCTAATCATTTTTTTGCTTTATCTGGAAAGAATATTTTAGTATTTTCTGATTCCTTTGACAAGCTTTTTTTCTGTTAAGGGATAAGGTATGCTATTGATCTATTACCAACTTATAGAGTTAAAGATGTCTTTAGTTAGATCACATGCTCTCAATCTTATTGTTTCCATGACATAATATTTAACTAATATTCAAAATCCCAAAGACATCTCTATTTCCAAGAGAAAATAAAAGGCAGCTAGTGGAATGGGTGAAAGCTATTCTGTCCCCTCTATCCTGTTACATTTACAAACCAAGAAAAGAAAAATAATCTGGGGCTATACTAAGACACTTCCAAAATAAAATTTTATGGAAATTCCAAAAATTAAAATGCTATGGAAGTGTCTTTATTTTTTATAAGGTGTTTCAAGATAATGGGATGCTTGAATATGACAAATTATTACTCACGTGGGGAAAAAAAATAACCAAAGTCTTTTGCTAAGTTGGCACCAATAATTCAAAGAAACTGGGTTTAACAGTTTGATGTATGCATAATTAATATGAAACTTAATAGGATGAAACATTTATGACAAAATGTAAGTCCCCCCCCCATTTTTTGGCAGTGATTGAAGTGAAATTAGCATGAGGACATTCTGGAAAGGTTTAAGGTCACATTTAGAATTAAAGAGAAAACATTCAAAGCTTGAAAGCAAAAAGGGAACTTCCATTAGCTGTTTGATTCTACCATGTCTACACAGAAACAGGCTGGGTAATGACTACCCCAGTAGGTGCCCAGTCTCAAAACTAACACAAGCAAATTTATTATGACAAGCCTGTAACAAAGGAGCTGTTTTTCTTCTTGTTGTGCTACTTCATCCTACCATGCATGCAAAGTCTTCAAAAGGTTCATGGAAAATGTGTATTATGAAAAAAACTACGCATGGATTTCAAATTTATTTTACACCCAAGTAAACTCATGCTTTAAATTTATTTTTCCACAAGCATTTGAATTCTCCTCATTTATGCTTAAATGTTATGGAGACTACCAGTCTTACAACCAACTAATGCTCCTGAGAGCAGCGCAACAAGAAATGGAGTAGCAAAGGTAAGCCTGAGAAGTCCTGGGGCCCAGAGAGCCTTTACATGTGTGGTCATGGCCACTTACATTTCAATACAGAAGGTATCATGGCTTTTTTGGGGAAAAGAATCGTATCTTGGCTACTAGGTTCCCTTTCAATAGGCCATTAATGGACAGCTATCTATCAGGCAACTAGCCTAAAGGACTTGGATAATAACACAAAACAAAACCTTTGCTTTTCCTATTGAATCCTTTTATTCTGTTTTAGTTGCTGCTTAGGAAAACAGCTTTGCCTGTAATTCACTGTGGCCTGGACTTATGACACCAACTTACATTTGGCCAATTAGGAATAAGGCCAAACTGCATTCTCCTTAGAAGGTCTATTTCGTTAATAAACGGCACTTAACTGACAGTCCTTTTTCATATGACCTTTAACAAGAACTCATAAGTTGCACTGAACATGCCCCACAAGATGAAGGAACTCATAAGTTGCACTGAACATGCCCCACAAGATGGACCAGTGATAATGCAGATGGATATCTCTGAAAAGATTTGTCAGTTTTCTGACAAATGTATGACAAATATATGTATGAGGTATACTTAAGCTCTGGGTGGAGCTCTTAAAAAGAGTATATAGCAGGTATTTCATGGTGGCTGTAGCTTTTGCTTGCTTTATGGTATACAAACACAGATAGTATTGCAAAGGAGCGTGATCTGGGAAAGATGTAAAAGTGAGTGTTAGAAGGTCAGGATTAGGAAGAGTTGAAGAACTCACATAAAGCAAGAGCTTATTACAATGGGGCGGGGGGAACAAGAGTTGATAGGGGTATGAACTCTTGTAGGACATCTTCCTCTGGCTCCTACCCAGGACTACTGAATCTCTGGAGATATAGTATGATAGTTTTTAAATCCATATTATTCCAGTGTGTTCATGCCTTTATAACTTCTCTCTCTAGACACACTTAATGTGTGATGCAAACTTCTCTAACCCAGTTTCTGAAAGAGAAAAACTAGTTCCAGAAGTTGAGGCGTAAAATTATTGTTAAAGGCCATGCTAAGATTTGAAAACAGGTCTATCTGTCTTCTGGTTAGAAGAGGGACAGAATATAAAGGTGACATTAATTTGATGTGGAAGACACAATGCACAACGATTTGAGACAATGTAAAGTCAGGAAAGCAATTCAGAAGTGAGGAGTAGCAGAGGCATTTGAGGAAACATTTAGAGATTTCTTTGGGTGCTACTGTAAGTAATTTCCTCTTAATTGCCTTGGGCCATTCTCTATATGAGGGGATGAGGAAAATGCATTCTTTTTACTCTTTAGTCATTCATCTGATAACTACAAATAGGGGTTGTTGGGTGCCCCAACTCTCAGCTAATGTGTTTGGGAGAGAGGAAAATTCCTCCAGATCAGGTGTTAGCCAGAATGGTGTGGATATCACTACAGGAAAGTCCTCTGTAGATCTCCCCCTAGGATGGTTCCAGGAGAGAAATTCTGCCACATGGTGAGAATGAAGATTGAGGCAGAATGAGGCAGAGAAGATGGTGGCAATATGATGCTGGATCATGGATGAATGAGTGCCATTTCTGACCTCCTTCTTCCCTTCCCTCCTGATTAACTAGCAGTTTGCTGAGATAACAGCAATTGAGTACGTTCTCTGAATTTCTGAGGCAGCTCGTATATACACCAGCATTCAAATGTCATTCATTGCCCTTCCTTTTTTATTTTTATTTTTTTGTCTTCCTACTTCATCCATACTGAAACAAATTTATCTTCTTTTTTCAGTGAAGAAAGGCTGGAAATTACTCATAAAGAAAAACCACAATCAAGAATGATGTACTCTGTAGTTTCTTTGGACTCTTTATTATTAGCATGGCTGAGCATTGGAGAGCTCTGTGCATTTACCTTGGTGAGGAGTAATGATAAATTGGTGCGGAAGGAGACAGTGTGTGGATATAGTAGAAAAGCTGAAGCCCAAGCTACAGGGTGCAGATTTTATACCGAAGGCAGTGGAGCTACTTATTGGTGCCCTAGAGGCATGATTCAAAGAGATATTAACCTCTCCCAGCAATTTTTTCAGACTGACAGGCAGTGTAACAAACAGGATAGAATGCGTGTTCTAAGTCGTCAGTGCTGACTTTGTATCCTGCAACGCTGCTAAATTTGCTTATTAGTTCTAGCGGGCTTGTTATTGTTGTTGGTTCTTCAATTTGGAATCTTTATGATTTTCTACAGATAAAATAATGTTGTCTATGGACAGGAATAATTTGACTTCTTTCTTTCCAGTTTGGGTATTTTTAATGTCTGTTTCTTGCCTAATTGGTTTGACTAGGACTTCCAGTGCTATGTTGAATAGAAGTGGTGAAAGTGAAAACCCTTGTTTTGTTCCTGATCTTAGAAAGCTTTCAGTTTTTTTTACCAGTCAGTATGTTTTCAGCATGGATTTTTTTCATAAGCCTTTATTATATTGAAATAAATTCCTTTCATTTCTAGTTGGCCGAATGCTCTTTTCATGAAAAATTTTGTCAGGACAAATGTGTTAAATATTGTCACGTGATTCTTCTGCAGTTGAGAGAATCATGTAGTTTTCCTCTAATTCTGAAAAGTTGTGTATTACACTGATTTTTAAATGTTGAATCATCCCTGTATTTAAGGAATAAATTGCATTGGTTATGGTATATAATCATTTTAATTTGTTCTTAATTTATGTTTGCCAGTATTTGGGGGAGGAATTTTGCATCAACATTTATTAATAATATTGGGCTGTAGTTTTCTTGTCTTCTAGTATCAGCGTTTTTACCTGATGTTGGCATCAGGGTAATGCTGGCTTCAAAAAACATATTTGGAACTATTCTCACCTCTTTGATTTTTTTGGAAGAGGTTGAGAATAATTGGTCTTAATTCTTTAAATGTTTGGTGGAGTTCACCAGTGAAGCCATTTGGTTCTAGGCTTTCTTCTTGGGGAAGTTTTTGATGACTGATTCAATCTCTTGATCTCAAGATGCCTAATAATACTCATAGTAGCAACCCTTCAGTTCTGAACTCTCAGAAAAAGACTTCTACGTAATAATAATAACAATAGGTATGACAAGAGTAAAGGCTAACTTTTCGTTATCACTTACTGACAGACGTGTTACATACATTAGCTCATTAAACAACCACAACCTAAAAGAGAAATCTCTTTTAGTATTATTGTCGCTATTTTACAGGAGAATAGAATGGAGGTACAGAGGGCTGAAGTGAATTGTCGAAATGCCCCAAGGCCAAGATCTAGTGATAAAGTCCAGTTTTGATGTAGATAATTGTGACTCTAGTTCCTATGTATTTAATTTTTTTTTTTTTTTTTTAGAGAGAGATTTTTGCTATCAGGCTTGTGTGCTCACCAGAGAGAGACTGAAAGACAGAAAGTGAGAAATCGCCTCTCAGGGGAGATGGCCACACTGCAATCCCTTCTCTTCTATTCTCCTCTGGGGATCTTGGATACACACACACACACACACACACACACACACACACGCCCATGTGAATTTCAAGCTGTTGGGGTCTGGGACTCAAACCACGGTCAACTATGTGGGAGTCCAGCAACATAACCATTATGCAATCTGCTAGTCCCTCTACTTAATATACTATGTCCACTATTCTCATGATTGCATGGAGATTAACCATAGTCTTGTTTTTCCCAGGAAGTATGTCATTACCCCAAGTCCAGAAGACATTGAGAATTGGAATTGTATGTGAGCAAGGTGAAGGACTATGCAGAAAAAAATGCCGAAAACTTGAAACTGAAGTACACTACTATATAAATGGAAAAAAATGTTGTGTTGGTCCATTTGTAACCATTGCCACTCATACAGCTGAGAATTTTGACTGGCCAAACAGTACGGATTACCTAAGAAACACCTTACACTGACCTTCCCTCCTGATTAACTAGCAGTTTGCTGAGATAACAGCAATTGAGTACGTTCTCTGAATTTCTGAGGCAGCTCGTATATACACCAGCATTCAAATGTCATTCATTGCCCTTCCTTTTTTATTTTTATTTTTTTGTCTTCCTACTTCATCCATACTGAAACAAATTTATCTTCTTTTTTCAGTGAAGAAAGGCTGGAAATTACTCATAAAGAAAAACCACAATCAAGAATGATGTACTCTGTAGTTTCTTTGGACTCTTTATTATTAGCATGGCTGAGCATTGGAGAGCTCTGTGCATTTACCTTGGTGAGGAGTAATGATAAATTGGTGCGGAAGGAGACAGTGTGTGGATATAGTAGAAAAGCTGAAGCCCAAGCTACAGGGTGCAGATTTTATACCGAAGGCAGTGGAGCTACTTATTGGTGCCCTAGAGGCATGATTCAAAGAGATATTAACCTCTCCCAGCAATTTTTTCAGACTGACAGGCAGTGTAACAAACAGGATAGAATGCGTGTTCTAAGTCGTCAGTGCTGACTTTGTATCCTGCAACGCTGCTAAATTTGCTTATTAGTTCTAGCGGGCTTGTTATTGTTGTTGGTTCTTCAATTTGGAATCTTTATGATTTTCTACAGATAAAATAATGTTGTCTATGGACAGGAATAATTTGACTTCTTTCTTTCCAGTTTGGGTATTTTTAATGTCTGTTTCTTGCCTAATTGGTTTGACTAGGACTTCCAGTGCTATGTTGAATAGAAGTGGTGAAAGTGAAAACCCTTGTTTTGTTCCTGATCTTAGAAAGCTTTCAGTTTTTTTTACCAGTCAGTATGTTTTCAGCATGGATTTTTTTCATAAGCCTTTATTATATTGAAATAAATTCCTTTCATTTCTAGTTGGCCGAATGCTCTTTTCATGAAAAATTTTGTCAGGACAAATGTGTTAAATATTGTCACGTGATTCTTCTGCAGTTGAGAGAATCATGTAGTTTTCCTCTAATTCTGAAAAGTTGTGTATTACACTGATTTTTAAATGTTGAATCATCCCTGTATTTAAGGAATAAATTGCATTGGTTATGGTATATAATCATTTTAATTTGTTCTTAATTTATGTTTGCCAGTATTTGGGGGAGGAATTTTGCATCAACATTTATTAATAATATTGGGCTGTAGTTTTCTTGTCTTCTAGTATCAGCGTTTTTACCTGATGTTGGCATCAGGGTAATGCTGGCTTCAAAAAACATATTTGGAACTATTCTCACCTCTTTGATTTTTTTGGAAGAGGTTGAGAATAATTGGTCTTAATTCTTTAAATGTTTGGTGGAGTTCACCAGTGAAGCCATTTGGTTCTAGGCTTTCTTCTTGGGGAAGTTTTTGATGACTGATTCAATCTCTTGATCTCAAGATGCCTAATAATACTCATAGTAGCAACCCTTCAGTTCTGAACTCTCAGAAAAAGACTTCTACGTAATAATAATAACAATAGGTATGACAAGAGTAAAGGCTAACTTTTCGTTATCACTTACTGACAGACGTGTTACATACATTAGCTCATTAAACAACCACAACCTAAAAGAGAAATCTCTTTTAGTATTATTGTCGCTATTTTACAGGAGAATAGAATGGAGGTACAGAGGGCTGAAGTGAATTGTCGAAATGCCCCAAGGCCAAGATCTAGTGATAAAGTCCAGTTTTGATGTAGATAATTGTGACTCTAGTTCCTATGTATTTAATTTTTTTTTTTTTTTTTTTAGAGAGAGATTTTTGCTATCAGGCTTGTGTGCTCACCAGAGAGAGACTGAAAGACAGAAAGTGAGAAATCGCCTCTCAGGGGAGATGGCCACACTGCAATCCCTTCTCTTCTATTCTCCTCTGGGGATCTTGGATACACACACACACACACACACACACGCCCATGTGAATTTCAAGCTGTTGGGGTCTGGGACTCAAACCACGGTCAACTATGTGGGAGTCCAGCAACATAACCATTATGCAATCTGCTAGTCCCTCTACTTAATATACTATGTCCACTATTCTCATGATTGCATGGAGATTAACCATAGTCTTGTTTTTCCCAGGAAGTATGTCATTACCCCAAGTCCAGAAGACATTGAGAATTGGAATTGTATGTGAGCAAGGTGAAGGACTATGCAGAAAAAAATGCCGAAAACTTGAAACTGAAGTACACTACTATATAAATGGAAAAAAATGTTGTGTTGGTCCATTTGTAACCATTGCCACTCATACAGCTGAGAATTTTGACTGGCCAAACAGTACGGATTACCTAAGAAACACCTTACACTGAATGATTACCGATAATTTATCCTTTTGGAAATTTTCTAACTCAAATCTCTTCATTATAAAAATGTATTTCAGCTTTTTGCAACTTTCTTTTATTCTATAAAGACTCATGGTTGGAGGAAGAAAGTTGGTGTAAAACACAGCATTTGGAAAAAGACTCCAGCCAAGGAAGAAAGGAAGGGAGGGAAGAGAGAGAAAGGAAAGAAAGGAGAAAGAAGGAAAAGCTCAGATAGTTCGCTAGATGTAGAGAGTATAAAGGAAAGGAGATCATATTTAACCTTCAATTCTTACCACGAAGACAGAAAAAAGATGTGAGAAGACACTTTCCAAAATTGGGCATTTAAATGTCCAGTAAACATATGACAGGGTGTCAACACTCACTCACCATCAAGGAAAAGACAATAAAACCTCAGTGAGATATTACTCGACATGTGCAAAAAATGACAGAACACATGACAAGTTCATATTGTGCCAAAGATGTGGAGGAATCGGAATTCCCTTACACAGCTAGTAAGTATACAAATGAAAAGTTGAACATGTACATTCCATATGCTTCACCAAATCCATTTGTAGGCATATATAGTACAGAAATTAGCAGGTTAATTTACTAAAAGGCATGTACAGGAGTTGTCATAGAAGTATCATTCATCTTAGCCCTGAAGTACATCACTAAGAGAATAAATATACTACATTGCAATGAAAACGGAGTGTTTCTCCACACATTAACATGGAGAAATCTTAGAAGTGAAACAATGAACAAAGAAAGCTATGATGACTTATTAATAAAAATAATGCATGGAAGTCAAGACAATCTATAAAGAAAGTCCTCTGCAATGATCGAAGACTATAAAAGGGTGACTTCTTCCCCTTGCTGCACCAATGTCCTTGCAAAGATCTGTTGCA